ACATTATATTAACGTATCCCTTCTATGTGAATTCACAGGATCACTGAGCAACATAAAAATGATGCATTCTGAACTCTTGTTCTACCTCACTCAAATAATGGGACGTTCACGTTGGACTACTCCATTGTCACCTGCGAGGTGGTTTCCTGGCAGGTGTTATTTTGAGCAAAAAAATTAAAACTATCTTACGAAAAATTGAAATCAATATATTTTATGGCGCATCAATAAAAATGTTTTTATTTCTTTGTGGAATACTTTTACAACGCTTGCTTTTCCTGCAGTTTTATGATTCTTATCTATTGAGAAACGACAAAGAAAATGAAGGAAATGTCAGAATATATTGAATGAATAATTTATGTTGTTAAGATGTCAAAAATTGTACATAATGGCGTTCTTGAAAAATGAATATTGTGACTTCCATAAAAGGTAGCAAAGGTATTACATGAGGTATATTTAAATAAACTATGAATAATCCGACTTTTTTTTTTTTTACAAGTAATCATTTAGGTTAAAAAAAACGGGTAGAAAGTGGGAATAGCCTGTTTGGTAGGTTTAGGGTAAATAAAATGATTGTTCTTTGCTCTTAGTTGCAACAAATTAAAAACAAAAATATACTCAATATGATGGAGGATGTCAGTGGGGTACACTCAAAATTGGGGCTGCAGGAAAATGTCAGTTGGGGTTGAAGCAAACACGCAGGTACTCAGTATCTACAGGCTCATTAGTTGGGGGGGGGGGCATGTGTAATGTTCTGGGCGTTTTGTGCTGAAAGAGTATTTTGAAAACCCTTGCAATATCTGTACCTCCTTTATATTTTGCTTGTTTGTTATTAAGCACAAGGCTAAACAATGAGCTATCTGTGCCGTGCCTACAGCGAGTATCGAGACCGGTTTTTTTAGCGTTAGATGCCCACAAACTTACCGCTGAGCCACAGGGAGAATCCACAAAGAATAGAAACAACTCAATAAATTAAGGGCTAACGAATAAGTTTTGGATTTGTTTCGAATTTCGCACAAAGCTACACAAGGGCTATCTGCGCTAGCCGTCCCTAATTTAGCAATGAAAGACTAGAGGGAAGGCAATTAGTCATCACAACCACCGCCAACTCTTGGGCTACTCTTTTACCAACGAATAGTGGGATTGACCGTCATTTATAACGTCCCCATGGGTCAAAGGGCTAACATGTTTGGTGGAAAGGGGATTCGAACCCGCTACCTGTAGATTGCGAGTCGAGCACCCCCTAACCATCTGGCCATGCCAGGGGCCACGAATAAGATAACTAGTAATTTTTCGCAAACAAAAGATGTGAAAATGTCATGTTTTTTTTTTTTTTGTTGTTGTTGTTAACGAAAACGTTGTAAATAAACCCATAAATACGTGAAAAACCTTTCAGAATTAAAAGTATGCAGATAAATAGAGAGAGGGAAAAAAAGGTGAACAGTTTCAGAATATCCTTGAAATTTAACGTTTGATTCAGTAAACTTAATTCAAGCAACACGATCATTTTGTGCTGTTTAAAGTAATTATCCGATAAAACTTGATCTATCGCATTAAGGGACCACCTTTACATTGGATAACGGTTTATTAGAACCTTTGGAATATTAGTATTCAAATTCACCCTGTTTATCTTCCAGTTTTGTATTGAATTATCAACAATTTTCAAGAGCCTAGAAGAATTAGGGTGTTTAATATAAAATTAATCCTGTGTGTTACCACTGATGAAGGGCCTAGAAGGATTAGGGTGTTTTAATATAAAGTTAACCTTGTGTGTTACCACCGATGAAGGGCCTAGAAGGATTAGGGTGATTTAATATAAAGTTAACCTTGTTCATCGGTGGTAACACAGGGCCTAGAAGGATTAGGGTGTTTTAATATAAAGTTAACTCTATGTGTTACCACCGATGAAGGGCCTAGAAGGATTAGGGTGTTTTAATATAAAGTTAACTCTATGTGTTACCACCGATGAAAGGCCTACAAGGATTAGGGTGTTTTAATATAAAGTTAACTCTATGTGTTACCACCGATGAAAGGCCTACAAGGATTAGGGTGTTTTAATATAAAGTTAACTCTATGTGTTA